CATGACCTGTTGCAATCCATGAATCTACACAATTTATTCAGGCCGGGCGTGGTGGCTCACGCCTGTAATCCTAGCACTCTGGGAGGCTAAGGCAGGAGGGTTAGGGCTTAGGAGTTCGAAACCAGCCTGAGCAAGAGCGAGACCTCGTCTCCACTAAAAATAGAAATAAATTAATAGGCCAACTAAAAATATATAGATAAAAGTCTCAGGTACTTGGGAGGCTGAGGCAGGAGGATCGCTTGAGCCCAGGGGTTTGAGGTTGCTGTGAGCTACGCTGACGCCATGGCACTCTAGCCAGGGCAGTAAGAATGAGACTCTGTCTAAAAAAAAACAAAAAAACTTGTCAAACTTCTAAGGAAAGTTCCTCATTTGGAAAGGGGAAGGAGGTCATCTAGTTGACACCAATGGTTTAAAAGGTCACATTACACAACTCTATGAGTCAAAACAAAGATTCAGTTCATACTTGTCTGCACTTTCTACCAAATATTAAAAAAAACAAAACCCAGTGGCTTTAAGCAATTCCTAATCATAAATGTAGAAGAAATTACTAATTTAAAGTCTGAATTTTGTTTTAGAAAAAATGCTTTTTGGTGAAGTTGTATGTTAAAAGAAATTCTAAATACACCTAAATTAAATCCAAGTTCTCAGCCAGGCGCGGTGGCTAACGCCTGTAATCCTAGCTTTCTGGGAGGCCAAGGCAGGCCGTCTCTTCTATAAATAGAAAGAAATTAATTGGCCAACTTATGTAGAAAAAATTAGCCGGGCATGGTGGTGCATGCCTGTAGTCCCAGCTACTCAGGAAGGAGGCTGAGGCAGTAGGGTTGCTTGAGCCCAGGAGTTTCAGGTTGCTGTTAGCTAGGCTGATGCCATGGCACTCACTCTAGCCTGGGCAACAAAGTGAGACTATGTCTCAAAAAAAAAAAAAAAAATATCCCAAGTTCTTAAAAGATCTTCTTTAAAAGCGAAATTTTAATATAAAACTTAGGCTGGGACTGGTGGCTTATGTCTGTAATCCTAGCCCTCTTGGAGGCGGGAGGATTGCTTGAGATCAGGAGTTCAAGACTAGCCTGAGCAAGAGCAAGACCCCGTCTTTACTAAAAATAAATTAGCCAACTAAAAATATATAGAAAAAATGAGCCGGGCATGGTGGCGCATGCCTGTAGTCCCAGCTACTTGGGAGGCTGAGGCAGGAGGATTGCTTGAGCCCAGGAGATTGAGGTTGCTGTGAGCTGGGCTGACGCCACGGCACTCATTCTAGCCTGGGCAAAAAAGTGAGACTCTGTCTCAAAAAATAAAAAAATAAAAGTCAGTTTTAAAAAGATGAAACAAAATATGAAAGTTACAAGGCTTCTGAGCATTTTTCTAATAAGGAACAATGCAGTTATTCTGACGTGACAAAACTTGTTTCAGCGACTCCTCTCATGACCAATTACATCTAGTGGAACGGCAGGGCTCACGCCTGGAATACCAGCACTAAGACAGGCTGAGGGGTAGGATTTGCTCAAGGCCAGGAGTTCAAGAGCAACCTGGGCAAGAAAATGAGATCCCGTTTCTAAATATTTTTTTAAAGTAAAATTAAATAACTAATTACACCTGCCTTGAAGGATCACGAGACATGAGGAAGGCTTCAGGTTTACTACTAAGTTCATCTATGTGACTATTTGTGCAGTTCAAAGATTTTACACAAGCAAAGCAAAAATGTGAAACCAAAATCCAATAACCAAATTTTCTTTTTCTTTTTTTTTTTTTTTTTTTTTGAGAAAGAGTCTCACTTTGTTGCCCAGACAAGAGTGAGTGCCATGGCATCAGCCTAGCTCACAGCAACCTCAAAGTCCTGGGCTCAAGCAATCCTCCTGCCTCAGCCTCCGGAGTAGCTGGGACTACAGGCATGCGCCACCATGCCCGGCTAATTTTTTCTATATATATTAGTTGGTCAATTAATTTCTTACTGGCTTTATCCCGTATCATCTTTCAGATGCTGGCGCTTAAGATAAGTCTTCCCCTGATGTTTGGGGGTTACAAGGGAGAAGGAATGTCAGAGAGAGAGGTTCCCCAAGGGCCTCCAAGTTGACTTAGAATAAACCATTAAGTGGATACCCGTTTAAGAGATAGCATTTAGGCCAGGCGCAGTGGCTCATGTCTGTAATCCCAGCACCCTGGGAGGCAATAAGAGATAGCATTTCTCTTTCTTTTTTCTTGAGACAGAGTCTCGCTTTGTTGGCCAGGCTAGTGTGAGTACCATGGCATCAGCCTAGCTCACAGCAACCTCAAACTCCTGGACTCAAGCGATCCTCCTGCCTCAGCCTCCCGAGTAGCTGGGTCTACAGGCATGCGCCACATCCCCGGCTAATTTTATATATTATATTAGTTGTCCAATTAATTTCTTTCCATTTATAGTAGAGACAGGTCTCGCTGCTTACTCAGGCTGGTTTCGAACTCCTGACCTTGAGCTCATCCTGCCTCGGCCTCCCAGAGTGCTAGGAATACAGGCGTTAGGCACCGCGCCCGGCCTATTCCTCTTTTTTAAGAGGAATAAAGAAGAACGAAACCCTTAGCATAAAATATCGAGCCCTACCGCCTGCCTGAGTCAAGGCAACACCAGGTCTCCCATGTCGGCTCACCAACAGCGCTCTCCAAGGCTCCTCACTAGAAATGAACGTTGCCGTCCTGCGTCCGAAGCCTAGTTTTACCTCATTCACCTGCCACGGAATCTCGTAAAACTCAAAGATAAACTTTAAGTCGTTTGAACGTAAACGTGACTCACAGTAACACCAAAACACGCGCACCTCCATAGCTCACTGAGGGAGGCGAACGGGTCGAGCTCGAGGCGGGCAATCACCGCGCCGGCCCTCCGTTTTCTTCTGGGAAATATCCGCCTTGGGAAGAGCTCGATCGAGGTCACCCACCCAGGCGACAGAGAGCCCACCCAAGTCCCGCCACCGTTCCGGCTGCGTCACCCGCCAGACCTGTCCAGAAAGCCCTAACCACCGGGCAAGCCCTCAACTTCCCGCCCAGCAGACACGGATCCAGGGCCAGAGCAAATGCCAGACCCGAGAGGGGAACCAGGTCGGCGGACGACCGCGGGGCAGGCTGGCGGCGCCCACAGCGAGGCGGTGCGGGCGACCCGCGGGAGGAGAACGCCCCGGCAGCCCGCGGCTCCCGCCCCTGACCCTACAGACCCGGCCCCGGCCGGCCCCGGCCCCTCACCGAGCAGCAGCAGGCAGCGGCGCCGGCGCCGCGGGCCGCAGCGGCGAGCCGTGCGGCGGCGGCGTGGTGCGGGGGCGGGCGCGGTTGGTC